TTCACTTTCATTTTCAAGGGTAGCGACACCTGTGAGAGAGTATACAAACGAATTATAGTTATAATAGAATAGGAATCTCGAAATTCTGGTTTAAATATATAATAAAAATGGAGTCGTGTGTAAAATGTTGTCATTTTACTTGAGGACACAAATTATAGAATTATTAATAAATATTAATCTGAAAATTAAATACAAATGATCCTAGGTGTCCGTTCTAGTGAGTGAAGTAGTTTGGTTATTGTGCCTAACGAGTTCCGTCGTAAATGCAATATATTGACAAACAGTATGATTAAAATTGAGGTACTTTGGCATTTATTAAATTATTCTTCTGTTCTCGTGAGCATTGAAAATTATCTCACTCACTAGCGGGAACCATTGCGAATACATTGATATATAATTATGTTAGTTTCCTCGATGATTTGTGGTCCTCGTCTGAAGCTCTGTTACACGGTAAAAATATACATACTAAATCGCCCCCTTAAGACATTTTTGTAGTTGTACTCCCTCCGAGGCCTACCTTGGCCATGTAAAGACCCATTTTCTGATAATTTTCTGTGGAGTATAGAAAATAGTTTTCGTCCAGGTTGCCTCCGATTGGGATATGTAAGTCTATATTCCCGTTGTGTCGCCAGCGTTCATCCATTACAGAATCCGTATATAAAATGGATATCAGTTAACTCATGATTAGTGAAATTTTCCATCTTTTTAAATCATTACCGTGATGTTAATAATAGCAAACACAATTCTATGTATTTCATTTAAGTTAGACAAAGTGTCAAATAAATCGAGGCAAACAAATTTTTATTTTCATGGCCTGCCTGCATATTTTTGTAATTCTTACCGCACACTTTGGAAAGTGTTACATATAGGTATCTAACACATTTAAACCATTTTTTCTCGAAAACGAATTACTTTTTCGATTTCATAGAAAACTCAGATCTATCAAATTTTACTGTTTAAATTTTTATAGGTAGCAACAAGTAAAAAATTTGGGGCAAATTTTGCCGACGACGCCGCAAGATGTCCCTGACTATTTTAAGGATGTTCGATACATCTCTTGCGGGGCAGGCGGTGCGGGAGGGAAGCCTATGCTTATACACGGTAGTTTCGTTGTAGTACCAACCTTACATAAATTAATTTGAGTTAACTAAATATAATATATACGAATGAAATTTATACAACACATATTAGCTTGCATATATTTTTCGTGTTTAATGCACGGCAATTTACTTTTTATTTGAATAAAAGTGTCTATTTATTCATTAAGAGCTTGTAAAATTATGGATGAAATCTGGCAACATTGTTATGGCGTGGTGGTAAAAGTTGGGTCAACTGTCCTGTCATTACTGTCAACTTTGCGCTTATTCCGTAAACATGAATAAACATCCAAGGTACAAAGGAAAAGTATATTGCATTAGATCACGAAAAATGTATTTAATATTAATTATTACTACATATGTTTTCGACTGGAATAATTTTATAGTCTATAATTGAGCTATTCAAATATAGCGCGTCAGTCAAAGCGTTAAATACAGCGTACAGAGTTGCCATATTTCCTTTCATTGGATCAAATGTTTGTTCAAATTTGTGAAAACGTTATATATTCATTCCATTATCTCAATAATTACATTGTAAGTGCATATTTTTATTGTTTTAAAATGTTTAGTAGTATTTAATACTTTAATTACAATTTTATTTTCCCGATCCTAACCATTTTTAAGAGCAATATTCATGTTTGATTAAAGTTTTTGCCCCAACTCCCATAAGAGCCTGTTTATAAGAGCATAATTTTTAATATCATTTTTCAAAAAAACTACATTGGCAATCGATCTGATATTTTTACACGAGACAGTTTACATATTTATTAACAGATTTCAATTGCTTTGAAAACTTTCTTACCATTTTTTTTTTCGGTATACCCATTTCGGAAATATTTTAAAAAATGAATTTTTTGAGCTTAGGAAGCATTTCTTCCATGTTTATATGAGAAAATATTCTTATTTTTGTCAATAAAATCAAGTGGTAAATTATTGGACACTAATTAGCTCATGAAAATTGGAACACCATCATATTTTAATTTTATAGATCCTTGGTTACTGAGCGCCATAATATGGGCTGTATAGCGGCGTATGCTTATGAAATAAAATGTGTGGAATATTTTGCAGTCTTTGTTAAGTAATATATTATTTTTCAGAACAAAAAGTAAGTGCAGCAACCTTTTGCAAGGTATTTCCTTTTCATTTAATGTTTGATAAGGATCTCAAAATTGTACAAACAGGATGTACCATAGCCAGGGTAATTCCAAATATCACTGTATCGACATGTACAGTCGGCGATATTCTAAGTACGGTAAGTTATAGTAAGTAGTAAGTAATATTCAGTAACAAATATTTTCATGCTAGCCCTTCACACCTATTACCCTTCTTTACTTTGTTATTTTTCGAAATATTTTAATGTTATGTTGCAGAAAAAATTGATGTTATTGTGTTATGACAACTTTCTCTTTAAATGAAACAAATATATTGACATAAAGTTTGAACAATACATCTCTAATAAGGGATTTAAGAGGAATGAGTGTATAAAGGGTAGTATACATATAAAAGACCGTTAATATGGAATCCAGTGGACGGGCCGTTAATTTTTAAATATTCTATAGATGGATGGGACCTATAGTGTAGGGGGTTAGGTGCACGGAAAGTGCTAGATAGTACAACAGCGTTATGTTATTTTCATAGCGCAACGCTGGAGCTATGCTATAAGTCCCATAACGACTCGCACTTGTGATAGAAAATAGTTGGTATGTGCAACTCGTTCGGAAAAGTTGCCATAGCGCCACTTGGGCGCTTTCCGCACTCGCTTCGCTCGTGCGCGTGGCGCTATAGACAACTTTTCCCCACTCGTTACACAATGTACTATAATTACATTAAAAATAATAATATTATTTTATTAGCAGATAAAGGTAACGCCACAGTAATTTTAGAAAAAATAGTTTATAACACAATAATTGATACTTTAGAACATTATACAAAATTAAATAAAGATCCTACTTAATCTATAGAAAATAAAATTTATAAAACATAAGAAAGAATTCAAAATACAGACATTTTCTAAATCGTTTTTTTACAACCATGAACCATCATGCTTTTACTAACCGTGAATATGTCGATATGCATTTTATTTATGGTTTCTGTAATGGAAATAGGCTGGCGGCTCAAAGAGAGTATCAGCAACGTTTTCCTGATAGAAGGTGACCCTCTGCAAGATTGTTTCGAAAAATTCATGCAAGACCTATGGAATCAGGAGCCCTAACACCAAGATATATGATTTTTTAGACGAAGTAATTTTAAGATTATTTGAACTTAATCCTACTGTGTAAGAAGAGCGTCTGCTCATGAAGGTTCATGGTTGTAAAAAAATCGAACAAAATGCAAAGTTGAGCACAAAGATCACAACTAAGAAAATAGAGAAACATAAGAATTTAAATCGTAGCACAAAGTGACAATCATTAGTATAATTACAATGAAACTGTCACTATGAAAGATGCCTACTATGTAAAAATGTTTTAAAAAATGTTACTGTTCTGAGCCATACATTATTTAAAAAATAATTATTTCTGACTAAAATACGCAAAATTAAAAAAAAAGTCAAAAAAGTCTAATCCATTAAAAAGTAATATTATTTGCTTGATTATTCAAAGATATAAGAAAAAATTCGAAATATTTCTGTTAAGAGTAGTTACAAAACTATCCTAATTTATAATCGATTTTCATGAAACTTATGGGAGTTAAAGACCCTTATGGTATGATTATTACCTACAATTTTCATTCCATCAGAAAGAAAGTTATTTTAAAAAATATGGACGGCCATATATCAGTAACGGTGCTCCGGAGGACCGATCTTTATATGAACATTTTTACTATTTTTGGCCCTACTTTCACCCCCCTTAAATTTTGTACCAACTTTTCCAAAAGCCCTGTGTATTTGTTTTTATTTTTTTCAATTACCTTTATTTTTTAGTATAAAATTATATTTGATTGAATGGTTGTTCGAAATATTGTTAAAATTACATTTATTTAAGACTAACATTCTGTAGATTGAAAAGGATAATATTAATTATCACATGTTTGGTTCAATATCACTATTTTAATATTTTTGAGGAATTTCTCACTAAGTTGTGTGCATTTCTCAATAAAACACCGTATATTACTATTATGCGAGATTGTAACTAAAATTTAAACTTAAATTTAGGTTCGCCCCCATTTGGAATTAACATTTGACAATATTTTATCACACATAAATACTATATATGTTCTTAAAACAAAAGTGGGAGTAATGAAAGTAAATGCTTTGCCAGAATACTGTCAACTAAGACTAAAGGGTCAAATGCTCTATATACAAGAAACGAATCTAGTAGTATTTTTATGCTACCCAAGTGTTATGAACTTAGACGACTTAACAAGGTAAATATTTTATATATTCATTTATACAGGGTGGTCGCGATGTAATGGGCCAAAATTCATGACTAGATTCCTGACGTGAAGATATTGCGGTTTAGACAAACTCACCCTAGTCCAAAAGTTGATACTTACAGAGATACAGGGTGTTTAATGCAAAATATTACTTTAGTTTTTTCTTATTTATTTCATAATAAATGCTCATATTGAGATGAAATTTTGGTGTTAGGGTTTTTTTGGGGCGAGAGATTGAAATATATCCATGGTTTGCTTGTAGCTCACAGAGAGCGCCACCTGCGCTAGGTCGAATGCGTTGAAAACGACAGAACTTTTTTATCTTTCAAAAATCTAATTCTCAGGTAGCAAATTCTGACACAAAAAGGTCAAGGTTTTGCTGATTGCGCATAAAATGAGCAAATTGTAATCTAGCTGGTAAGTCTGCTTCTAAAAGATTTTGCACGGGTGTAAAATGGTAGGGATATAAATTTTCCTTGTGAAAGATTTTGAGAACTGTTGTTTTACTAACACCGGTTTCTCTAGCTACCTGCCTGCTGCTAACTTCTGGATTTCCTGCCACTCTTACTAAAATTTCTTCTTCTTGGTGAACTGTAACAGTACGCCCTGCATTGTCTCTTTTAAGACGAAAACTACCAGTTTCTCCAAGTCTATTAAAAAGTCCTTGAAATAGTTTCCGATTTGGTTGCCTTCTATTCGGATACAACTCTGAATACCGACGAAGCGCTCGACGTCCAACATAATCTGATTGCACATAAACGCAAACCATATCGCGCATTTCTCCATTTGAAAATAAATTATGGCGTGGCATGTTATCTCGCACTACGATTTAGATCATAAAGTAAAGAATACTTTTAATAAGGCACGAATAATACTGTAATATTACTGACAGCACTAAGATAAGTGGAAAATGTCAAAATTGGATTTTAACATAAGCCTACTTGAAAATTTTTGCCGATTTGTAATTGAATGCAAATACATTGGAATTTTCAATGGCAAATTTTACGAGAACGGTGCAAGATAGCGACTATCAAAAAGTATAGCTTTATTGTGTAAAAGAAGTTGTAAAATCAGAATTTGCTACCTGAGAATTAGATTTTTGAAAGATAAAAGAGTTCAGTCGTTTTCAACGCATTCAACCTAGCGCAGGTGGCGCTCTCTATGAGCTACAAGTATACCTGCTTGGATATATTTCAATCTCTCGCCCCAGAAAACCCCTAACACCAAAATTTCATCTCGATATGAGCATTTATTATGAAATAAATAAGAAAAAACTAAAATAATATTTTGCATTAAACACCCTGTATCTCTGTAAGTATCAACTTTTGGATTAAGGTGAGTTTATCTAAATCGCAATATTTTCACGTCAGGAATCTAGTCATGAATTTTGGCCCATTACATCGCGACCACCCTATATTAATATAAATTACATCAAATATATACAGGGTTTATTTTAAATGCCATGTAACTTTATACGAATTGCCTGATTAATATCAAATACAGTTGCAGAGGTAAAAAATTTCATTCAGTGAAATTAATTGCATTCTGGCCAAATTGTTATTTTTTCATATACATGTAATAGAAAATATAATATTAATGACACATTGCATTTTCCAAAGAGTCTGCCATAAGCAAAACGTGACTGATGTACAGGGTGATTCACTATATTTTGACCCCCCTCATTAACTTTTCTGTTTTAAGAGTTATAAAAAATGTGAAATACAAAAGTTGCACGATTTTTTATAAAGTTTTCGAAAAAAAGTCGAAATAAAACTAACCATACGATTCGCTTCATCTTTGGACGGAAGCTTCACAGCAATGCGTAGTTTACTGCATTTTATTTTCAGCGGAATCGCATGAGCTGTTCGCTGGTAAAGTGGTTTAACGTTTTGGAAACATCGGCGAAATAGGTGACGGACATTTCCAAATATCGTCCTGGAGCGCGCCGGGATTCCTCCTCGGGTAGCGGTCTTCACTGCAGTGGACACAGAACGTCCGTCGTTAGCAGACCCGGGCAATGTCGGTCGCGGTGTTAGGGAATATTGGAAACATCGGCGAAATCGATTTCGCGGAGTTATCCTTGGAGTCGTGGTTGGATGGTTCAGACGGCCTCGGGCTCGATGGCGGAATTTGAAACATGATGGAATAGCAGTCGCACTTCTGGACCGTGGCGGAATGGCAGGCCGTCATTGACTTTGACGGCTGAATTCTGGACCGTGACGGAACGGTTGGATGTCTTCGAAACTGAGTACAGGCGGATTCGCCCCTGACGTGATCTGATGTGATTGTGGACAGCCGCGTTGCTGCCTGGATTTTCGGGAATGTGAAGACGGCCACGTCGGGAGATACATTACGTCGGAATCGCCCCGGAAGTGGTCTGGTAAGGTCCTGGACAACCAACTGGAGATATTGCTGCCTGGATCCCTAAATTTCATGAATCCCGGAAATTGACTCGAAACGTGTATTACAACACTATCAATGCCAGTTGGGACATGTAGCTTATAAAGTAGTTGTTTCCAACAATATCAGCAATTAAGAATCTTGTTTTATGAAAAAAATAATTTATTGATACTAATGATGTATAATGAAATTAAAAATGCGGGTGCTAATAATATTAATATGTTTTTTAAAGTGCACATATTAGTCGCACTCTTAGTTTCAAACGAATGTTACTACCCGTATCTTTAAATTAATTGATTTAATCTGGTCGTTGGACATTATTTTTGCCTTAGGAGGGGCTTATATATTAGCGACATTCCTTTACATGATGCAACAAGGGATTTAGTATTAATGTCTGAACAGTTTGAGGCAGAATATAAGTTAACAAGAAATTTAGAATTTTTAACGGATAAACTTCAACAGACATATCGAGAATTGGAAGCTGAAAAAAAGAAGACAGATCGGTAAGTCATATTATTGTAATAAAGATTTACTAGTTTTGTTATTTAAATATAAATTTTGAATTTTTAATCAAATTGCAATATCTGAATTATTTATACTAGTTTATTATGATATAGATTATAGAAAAAAGTTCTCGGTTTCAGTGGGAATGTGTACATTTATATATACAAGCTGATCCAAATTCTTTACATTATTACATGTATTATTGTATTGTATTACATGTATTACATGTATTATTGATATTACATATTCGGACAGCTTATGAAAAGAGCTTTAAGTTAAACAGAAATCGTAAAGATTCGTTGAAAAACAACGGAGTTACAGACTGTCAAATATATTATTTTCAAGCGAATTTCGCTTTTTTAATTACAGGATATTATCGTCATTTTCTTCGGACTCGCTATCGTTCGCTTCCTCCACTCTTCCGCCGCGCCGCGGCTCGCCGAAAAATCAATCGATCCAATGACGTTTGACAATATTTCTTCACCAAATATTCCACAAATAAAATATTTTTATCTGGGAAAGTACTCGGGTTGTCGGTTATGGCAGTATCTTTTTGCCGCTTCCAACCTAATGGTTTAAAAATAGGCCGTCAACTTTGACAGTCTGTAACTCCGTTGTTTTTCAACGAATGTTGAGACGATTTTTTTTTAATTAAAACTCTTTTTATAAGCTTTCCGAATATGTAATAATATTTAACTATATCACGCGCGTGCGTCGTATATTTCATTTTGCAACTAAGGCTAAAAAATAATGAAAATCTCTAGATTGCAAATTTCAAATTTAAAAAAAAATGATATATTTCAATGTATTATTATGAAATTTACCATGAAAAAAATCAGTGCAATTATGGAAGATGCTCGGGATCGTCCAGACTAATAACACAGGTCAACATTTTATCTAGGCTTGTGCACGAGAATCAAAGATGGTATCCTAGGGTTTTTGGGGTCGCTGATTACGATGAGCGGGTCGGTTAGGCTCCAACACGTCAAGTTCAAGGTCATTTGAAGGTCAAACGGTCAAAATACCTTCCAAAAATCTGAAAAAATTCATGGCCATGTTTATGAGGTCGCTGAATCCGAATCCGGTGTTTATTTTTACTTTGCATGCATCCTCGAGGTCATTCAAGGTCATCTCAAGGTCATTTGAGGGGTTTTTGAGACAAAAATACTAAGTACCATCCGAAAAATCTGAAAAAATTCATACGTATGTTTTCGAGTACCCTGAATCTGAATCTCAGGTCATTCGACCTCATTTCAAGGTAATTTGAAGGTCAAATGGTCAAAAAAGCTTCAACAAATCTGAAAAAAATCATGGACATGTCATTTGAGGGGTCTACACACAATTGTGCCACAGAACTAGAATACCTGCCTTGGGATGACCTTGAATGACCTCGAGGATGCATGCAAAGTAAAAATAAACAGCGGATTCGGATTCAGCGACCTCAAAAACATGTCCATGAAATTTTTCAGATTTTTGGAAGGTTTTTTGACCGTTTGACCTTCAAATGATATACTAATAATACAATATAATAATAATAATACATTTAATTAAATACATTACATCTGCTTGGCTATTACAATAAATTAAATTAAATTAAATGCACACATGTACATGTAAATTTAAAGGTTAGCCTAAACACCGGAGTGTTTGTAATGCTATAACCTTTCAAAATGATCTACTATTTAAATTATAGCACAGAGAGAACAAAAATATACCTAATATTTTAATCATAGCACAGAAAACAGAAATGTAGGAGAAAAAAGGAGAGGAGACAAGCAATGCGAATACACAATGCACCATGTAGATACAAGTTATTACTAATAAATATTGAAAAAAGTCTGATGTTGTTTAATGTATAATTTTAGTTTTTGAATTTTTTTAAATGTCCAACTTTCTTTAATTCAATTGGAAGCATGTTATAGAGTTTAGGGCTATAGAAAAATATTGAATGTTGCGTATGAGCTTTTTTAAATAAAGGCAGGCTTACAGATAAATTCTTTACAAATCTGGTCTCTTTATTTTTTGCACAATATATGTAGTTGTATTGTTGAAAGTCCACAGCAAACAATGATAGGTAAAAATATTTCTTACATTAAAAAAACCTGTTTTCTTGTATAACTGATCAATTGAATAAAATTTATTTCTTTTAAATATAATTTTTATTATGGTGTTTTGAGCAGCTTAAACATTATGTAAGAAGGTGTTACTTAAACCACCCCATGCTGTTATACAATACCGTATGATTGATTCCGTTAAGGAATAATATAACATGGTTAAATTCTGTTGTGATAAAATTTGTCTTAAAGTGTAGAATTGGTGTGCTAGTTGTCTAAGCTTTCTTGATACATAAGAAGCATGCTCATCCCATCTTAGGTGCTGATCCAGGATAATACCTAGGTATTTAATATCATATACTTTCTGTATATGAGGACACAGACAATCATTATTGTTAGAACAATCAGTGTTATGAATTTTTAACACTTCGGTATTAGGCTGATCCGTATTTGTTAAACTAAAAGTTAAAAATTTTGTTTTTTTTTATATTTAAACTTAATTTATTGAAGTTAAGCCACATTTGTATTTTTTTAAATTCAGATTCAGCAGTATTATACAGATCAGGCCAGTAATTACCAGAATAAATGATTGCAGTATCGTCAGCATACGAAATAAGGTGACCTTCGAAATTTTTTATACAACTGATACTATTAATATACACAAGGAATAATATAGGACCTAAAACTGTGCCCTTTGGTACACCAACAAGAATTTCTTTAGGTTCACTCAGACAGTTGTCTATTTTAACTCTTTGTATTCTATGTGACAGATAATCTCGAAACATATCTAGAACAGGACCACGGATACCATAATGTTCCAACTTGTTTAGCAATATAGTATTGACACTGTATCAAAAGCCTTGGCCAGATCGAGAAAGATGGCTAAACACCTCTCCGATTTGTCCAAGGATTCAACAATTTCCTGCACAAGGTCGAGTACAGCACCCTCCGTATTAGATTTATTTATGAAACCAAATTGCCGTTTAGTGATTATATTATGCATATTGAAAAAAGAAATTAATCTAGTTTTAACGGTATGTTCAAAAATTTTAGCGAAATTATTTATCACAGAAATTGGACGGTAATTTATTAATTCATCATGTGCTCCCGTTTTAAAGACTGGTGTAACATTCGATTCTTTCCATTGTGCAGGTATATTACTATTTCTAAATATTAAATTTATAATATGAACTAATGGAGCGACAATATTTCTATGTACATTTTTTATTACATTAGTAGTTATCCCATCAGGACCAGGCAAACAATTATTTTTCAGGTTAACTATTATCTCAATTATTTCATTTTCATTCACAGGTTCAAGAAAAAGTGATGATGCAGAGCGATTTTCGTGGAAGAAATTTACGGGTAAAGCTTTACATTCTTTAATTTTCTTAGCCATCTCCAAACCGACACTAACAAAATAATCATTAAAAATTTGAGCTTTCATTGGATTTTCAATGATAGCTTCACCACGTAAATTTTTAATAGGTATATCCTTGACCGTTTTTTTTTATTTCCACCATTTGATACCTCATTAACAACATCCCAAGTCTTTTTACAATTACCTTTAACAGAAAAGAGTTTATCTTTGTAATAATTATTTTTTGTATTTTTTATAAGTTTATTTAATTTATTTCTATATTCCTTATATTCTCTTTCAGCTTGTTCTGTTTTCCTAGTTAATAATTTCTTTTTGAGCGTATCTCTTCGTTTAATAGAAGTTACCAAACCTGCAGTTATCCAGGGTTTTATTTTAAAATTTTTATTTGAAAATAAAGTATAACTATTTGTTGCTGAGTTTATATATCTTTTTAAAGTAACAATAAATGTATTATATGAAATTTGTGCATCGTTGCAGTTTATTACTTCTTCCCAGTTTTCATGACTTATTGTAGACATTAATTTATTAAAATCAATACTATTTCTAACTTTAGGTTCCTGTTTTGGTAGCAAATGACCTTGAACTTGACGTGATGGAGCCTAACCGACCCTCTCATCGTAATCAGCGACCCCATAAACCCTAGGATACCATCTTCGATTCCCGTGCACAAGCCTAGATAAAATTGTTTATAAGGCCATAACTTGTACACTATTCAACTTACCGAAGAAAGACGAAAAAAAGTACTATACTATTTTCTCGTGGAAATGAACGGAAAAAAGTTATAAGCGAAAAATGTGAATTTACTTAAAAATTATACAATTAACCACCCTGTAAACAATTTTTATAACTATGGAAACTAATATGTTATAGTACATAATATTTAGCATCTATAGCGATAAATTCAGCTGCCGAAACAAAAGGTCGCGAAATGGTCATTTCACAGCTCTTTTATTATAACTTCTAATGCATAATATATTAATTATATTTTATAGATGTCTTGAGAAAGGAAAAAACATTTCCGAAAGCTTGGCAACACAGTGTTCTTATTGCACTAGCCCTTAGTACTGTTGACTGAAATCCAAATTACATCACAGTTTTTTTCTTAATTAGTCAGTCAAGACTGCCCTTATACATATATACAGGGTGTTTGGTAAGTCGATGCATTCCTTGCAGGAGGCTATAGTACAAGTGATTTGTGATATATTTCCTTAATATACTATATTCCGAAAACGTTTAGTTTCCGATCTACACGGTGTTAAAGTTTTAATAAAAAAATGCAGATTTATAAATATTGCGGAAACCGCTCAAAATATTTTTATGAAATTTTACAGGCTTTGACAGTTAATTCGGTTTCAATAATAATTTGAAAAATAGCAGAAATTATGCACTTAACTGCTTCACACTCAAACACTCAAAGTGATAGCTATTATTAATTTTGTCAAACAATAACAAAAACGAGTATACAGCCAACTTGGTAATTTCTGTTTAGATAGTGAATAGTGAACCTGAAAACTGATAAAAATTATTTAGACTGATGTTAATTGAGAGGAATAATAATTTTTTGTAAT